CTTGCCTGCATATCCACACAGCCCTATTTTCCAAAAAATATTTTCCCATCCCATATGTGGAGGGATTAAATGCAGATATTAGAATGATTATAATGCATGAATTAAGTGGAATAAGAAATATAATGAAAATATGTGCAGCAAGAATGAATTATGTTTTACACACTGCCCCTGGGATGCTGTAAGTCTTAAGCAATTGCCAAAATGCATGGCTTTCAGGAGGGTTTGCCAAGCTGCATATAGCAGATAATTCTCGAATGTCATATAGTGAATTTGTATTCCAGAATAATCACTAAACTACAGAGGGAAGGTATCCTGTATAAACTACTTTTTTTTTGTACTTGAAGCGACATATTTTTTGCCATGAACATTAGTATAAAGACAGGTTTAGTTGGGGTTAAAATTAACAGCTTTACTAAGAAATATATTATCACAATTACAAGGGATTTCCCAGTCCGACTCATTTCAATGGAAATTAGCTCTCTCTCTGCAATCTGTTGGATTTTGAATTGTTTAACTACCGGTATGTTCCTGTTGCAAACATTAGTTTTCTATCGTCCTCTACATCATTACGGTAGATTAAATTTGAAGGGGGAGTATAGAATCAAAAGATTCTGTAGTGTAGCCCATTAAATTCTGTTTGATGTTATCTATGGATAAATGATTGGCATGTGGGAATATAATATGAGAATGGACAAGAGAATCTGAATAATATTAGATGCTACCGTAATCAGCATCATCTATTGTAATAAGCTATGATTTGCTTCATAAATTACCACTGGCTGAGTTTCATAAAATGTACTTGCAAATTAGAATGATCACCTAAGCCGTATTACGGTTAGATCAATGTACGAGCCTTATCTCTGTGTCTCGCAACTAGTTTCAATGCACAATGTTCTCCCACTGCAGCGCAAAAGTACAAAGAAAGTCAAATGTTCAATTCTCTGACCCATCACAGTGAAATATAAAAAAGCATCTGTGCTAGAATTAAATACCAAAACATTATTGGATCACATTTGTTTCAGTAAAACATAGATCCCATCACCTAATGCAATAAATTTGCACTTCAGCGCCTTTTCACCAAAAAGTTAAAATAAATTAGTGGTAATATTGACTACAAGCTTATTTCAGCAATTACTTATTTTCTTAGAAGAAAAACATCTCTGTGGCAATTGAATATATAGTTTGATCTTAACTACAGTTAGAGTCAGTACTTTAACCCAATATAAGGTCTTTTATATAAGGTCTTCTGAATGTGCTGAGAAAACTAACTAGGGATGGGGCATTGCAATGTAACATCTGGAGGATGCCAAGTTGGAGCAGGAATACAATACAAACCACTTCTTTATGATCTCAGACAAATAAAGTTGAGGAAGGAAACAATATCATATTGGATTAAAGTACTGCTTTTCAATGATTAATTTTACTTCGAATTCACAAAACTCTTTGCCATGTGGTTTTCGAAGTCTAAATTCCCTGTTAAGAAAGCAAAAGTGCTAATACTTCGCAAAAAAATTTTTTTTCAGTTGCAATCAGTAACCCTTACTGAATGCAAATATATACCGTATTGTCTCTAATTTCTTAATAGCCACATAGAGCTTTGTTTTACTTTCTTTTAAAAAAAGTATGCCACTTACGCTTTTTTCTCCGCGAAGTCAGTTGTCCGAATAATCCACTTCCAGCCTTGCAGTCAGAAAATATGCAGATGCCAATCTAGTGTGCACAGGGTTTTTTTTTTCCCGAAAGAGGGATACCTGCAGAGTACAGACCAAATAGCTTGTGCTTCTTTCTGTTAAGGTCACCAGGGCTTAGCAGAATATAACAATGCTTAATCCTCATTGGTTTTGCCTGCTGAGCACCAGGCTGTTTCCTTGACAACACATTTGCAGTTGCTACGGCATTCTCAACCACGTATGATGTCAAGGTTTGATGTCAACATAAAAGAAAATTGCCTCCTGTTTGCAAATCAGCATGTGATGGGTCCATGAAAATGGGCATGCAATTGTGACTTGCATCAGTGAAAAGCATGATTTCAGATTTTTCAGGAGCAATCATGCCAGTCTCTTCTGCTTTGGTCAAAATCCTTACCTTGAATATGGAGTCTAGTCTCCATAATTTAAGATTTTTTTTAATTGAAAATATTTTGTCAAGGTTAAAAAACTAAAGCCTACGATGAAATATTGAATAAGGTGAGCAAGCTTCGTTTTGAGAAAAACCTGGCTTCAAGGAGATATGACTACACACTTCAAATACCAGAGGTTATATGTTGCATAGAAGAGGTCTATGAGAGGTTATATGTTGTATAGGTGAGGTCTATGAGATGATCTATTCTCTCTTATTCCAGGGGACAAAACAAAGAATTATGATTTAATTTATAGGGAGGGAGATTCCAACTGAATGCTAGGAAAAAAAGTCCTAACTGTCTGATAATAGCATCAGCTATCCATGGCCTCTTCTTCACTGGATATCAGAGGTGGATTGCTACTGGTTCGCACTGGTTCAGGCAAACTGGCAGTGGTATGTTGGCCTGGGTCCCAGAACTGGCAGCAACGCATGCTGGCCACGCCTCCGAACCAGTTCCCCAGTCACCACTGGTGTTGACAGCACAGTTTTTAGTCCTTTTTTAATGTTCTGCACATGCACAGATCAATTTACAGGCAACTATGCACATACGCACAGCGCGCATGAAGCAAACTGGCAGTAATGCCGCTAGCAACCCATCCCTGCTGGATATATCCAAGTAGTTGGTTAAACAGATTTGACTCAGTGGCTTAAATAGCCCCTTCAGTGGTTCACCAGAGAAAAAATGTTGCCTGAAACTCTGGAAAATATATTTCGGTGCAAAGGTTTTACTCACAACAAGGAACTTGTTATCCTTACTTAGCATCAGTTTTGGAGATGAATTTTGGTTCTGACTATGCAGTCATACATATTTATTCATAAGTAAATCCTATTAATTTCACTAGGGATACTTTTACACAGAAATCTAGCCTAAAGAACTTTAATGGAAAAGTAAATTGGTCTTCTCCAGCTCAACTATTGAGTCTCAGCATCTGAAACAATTCAATCGCATCACATTATAGAAGCAGTTTAGTCCTAAATGTGAAAAGATATAAAACCTCAGCTTAATTACTAACATTCGTATCCACTACTAGAAACACTAACATATTTTTTTTAATCATCCTAACGTTTTATTGCCAATCTCCTCCAACACCACTTCCTGAGTTAGCCTGGGCTCTTGATAATTAATTTCATTATATATAAAATAAATTGCTTTAGTTGTAACATTACTGAAAAATCAAATTAAAAGTAATGCCCACAGCCCTTGACTTTTCAAATACGAAAACATTTGAAGACAACCTAGTTATTCTGTTCCTTTGTCCCAAGAAACAATACCCTCCTACACTTTTTTTGATACCTTTCTGCATAAAGCATATAATTGAAATACTTATACCAAAAGAATCAAGCATTTATTTTTCATACTTTGCATTGACTCCCTTCTCTATCTATGTAAGAATAAAATGGAAAGATCTAGCCTACGAGCATATGACGCAGAATGCAGAATAGAGTGGAGTAGAAAATAATCCCTATTATCCCTTTATTAAATAAATTAAACTGAATATATGTATATATATATTATACATACATATATTGTATGTACAAGATATAATGTACAACTTCACATCTCATCTAGATTCTGCATTTCCTCAAGGGAGGAACAAATCAGCTTTAAAAACCATGCTTTAGGAGAATTGCATATGATTTGTCCATTGCTTTTAATTTGAAAAACAGGGAAAAATTAGATGAAACAAAATGTTACACAAAAAAGCAGTAGAGAATGAAGCCAAAAAAAAAGATCAGCTGACTTTTCAACCCTCCAGATGTCAAGGTGCAATCTCACCTTATGTCCGATAAGAACTGCCCATTTTTTCTGAGCTCTTGGCATTTTTTTCCTGAGCTCTTGATATTCCCGTGCAGCGCATTTGATTTCAGCAAGAAATCTGTTTCTTTTTCATTATATCCTTTCCCCAAATGGATGAAATTTAGATACAGGACATGCTTATTTTGTTTTCTTTCTTCTCTTTATTTCTTTGGTTTCATTAATGTCACTGACAGACAACATACACTGTATTCTCTGTGTAACTTGTCATATCAATTTCATTTATCATTTATCATTTATCATTTATCATTTATCATTTATCATTTATCATTTATCATTTATCATTTATCATT